CTTGCAAATATAATGTTGTATAACTGTGTCATATTTTTTTTTCTATAGGGTCCTCAAGGCCCCAAAGGTTCTAAAGGTTCATTGGTAAGTTCCTCTGCACAGATTCTCCCGCTCCTCCTTCCCCCTTTCCGGCTTTGGTTGTGGCTCACTCTTCTTTTTTCAATTTATAAGATTTACTAAAATTGTACTCTTCTACTCCTTCGTAGGGTCCTGGTGGCCAAAAAGGTGATGGTGGTTTACCTGGACCTCCCGGACCTCCTGTAAGTAAGACTCGTTTTGATTTGATCAGAATTGACTATATTATTGTAGAGGTTGAGTGCAAGCAGTACAGTGGTGGGTTTCAAATATTTTTAGAACCTCTTCTGTAGGTGTGGCCTGCTTTGTGGGAGTAGCTTGCTGGCCATGTGACCGAGTGGGAGTGGCTTGCCAGCCATGTGACTGGGTGGGTGTGGCCAACTTGTAAAATGTGGTGAAACCCACTTGCTTAGCAACCAAAATGTTGGCTCAGAAACTCTAGCATTTGAAGCACGCAAGTCTTAAAGCTGTCAAGCTACAAGACCCTTGCACCCCTAACCCTTTAGAGAAAAAAACCCAGGGGTGTTCAAACTTGACAGCTTTAAGACTTGTGGACTTCAACTCCTAGAATTCCTCCTCTCGCTCTTCATCTTGATGATGTACGGACGGAAGAGGGGAGGGAGCTGGAACCGGTTCTAAACGGCACTGTAGATTTGTGGAACCTCTTCTATAGAAGAGGTTAGAACTGGGAGGAACCCACTCCTGAAGCAGTAGCCTTTAAATACAAGAGGGGGGTTAGCATCTGACTTTAACAGCGTGGGGTTGTCCCCCGATAATCTTCAAGGAAAGCTAAAGCAGAGACTTTTTAAAGAAAGCCAGCAATACTGTGGATATTTTTTTAATTATGAACAATAATATCAGAGCCAGATTAAGGCCAAGTGATGCCCTCAACACAGCTCAGTAGTGTTGTTGTATTCTAGCTAATTAGCTTAAGACCAAAACCCTTATTGTACAACAAATGCTTCAGTTCAATCTCAGCGGGTGGCTTTATTGTAAGAACATCTTTCTTGTTATGTTCACTTCTTGATGAAACAGCCAAATATCCCTTACGCTTATTAATACTGACATTTTAAACGATAATTAAGACAGATAATATTTATTTCATCGCATCCTCAATGGCTTAACCTATTTAAGCGTTAGAGTGTTTATCATTTTTAATCAATACTGCATAAATATCACTGTATCGGAATAATAAAATGCATTATGTAATTTTTGCAGTGCTTTTTTTTAAAAAAAAAACCTACTGGTGGTTCACGAGGGAAGCAAAATTCTTCCACCATCAGAAACAGAAACAAAAAAACAAATGTGATATCTGATGACACTTTCAAACCAAACTTTTACACTTTAGTCAAAGAAAAGGTTTGCTTTCGACAATGCAAATTAAAATGAGACATGGCAGATTAATTACCCCAAAATGATTAAAGTTGAGCATATCAGTGAAAGAATTAAGGGCATGATAGCTATGGGGGAAAAAAATTATGGTGCTCTCTTCCCTTGGTGCTCTGAGCATGTGCTTCTTTTGCTTAATCCATGGCTGAATGATATATAGATCAGCAATATGCCTATGCTCTGGTTTTGCAGGAATCCAGGGGCAGAAATTACATTGGTAGGCAGCCTCTACCATCTGAGAGATACTAGAAGAATGTAGCAAAAAAAATGTTGGGAGTAGTTAACTTTCTACCTACATGAATAAGGAGACGTGGTTGCTGAGTGGCTAAGACACTGAGCTTGTCGTTAAGAAAGCTCAGCAGTTTGGTGGTTCGAATCCCTCATGCCGTGTAACAGAATTAGCTCCTGTTACTTGTCCCAGCTTCTGCCAACCTAGCAGTTCAAAAGCATGTAAAAGTGCAAGTAGAAAAATAGGAACCACATTTGGTGGGAAGGGAACAGCATTCCGTGCGCCTTCTGCATTTAGTCATGCTGGCCACATGACCACGGAGACGTCTTTGGACAGCACTGGCTCTTAGGCTTTGAAATGGAGATGAGCATCACCCCCTAGAGTCAGGAACAACTAATACTTATGTGCGAGGGGAACCTAAATGAATAGTTAAGAATATTTTCTTTTATACCAGAGCTGAAGAAAGATGCAACTTAATAATTAAAACAATAAACTCAGAGAATGACATGGATAATTTTCCTATATTGGACTTACAAAGAGGCTTTTTTAAATTTTTGAGGACTCTTGTGAAAAGGAAGAATAAAAAAAAATCAAGTTCTGCAACATTATTTGCACTAAAGATTAAGACTGTTAGAAGTAAAAGGAAGAAATATAAAGTGGGTTTATTTGACCAAGGTTAACACAGATATGTTGTTATTTCTGGTAAACCTTAATGGACTTTTGCTGACACTGAAATGACCATGCTTTATGGATTTGTTTATAGATAAGAGATGGGATATGAAAAGAAGAGATCATTTGTTGTATTTAAAGAGTGGGGATAAATTATTAGCCCTGTTTATATGGTGTGACGAAACTTGGAAATCACTTTATATTTTTTCTCTTTTTTATTCTTATTTTTCTTTCTTTCCTTTTTTGCACTTTCTACTGTTTCTTAGTATTCTATCTTTTATTTTTTTAATATTTATTATTGTAATTATAGTTTTTAGCAAAATCACATTTTTTTTAAAAAAAATGAAAATTTTGCCAATAAAACTGTTAAGAACTAGTCTAGAAAGTTCAGGAATCGAGAATAATTCAAAGGAGTACACATACACACACAAAATGGTGACTGTGTAGTATTCGGTATCGAATAATCCTTCTATCTATTTTATCCACGCTTAAACAGAAAGGATTATTTTTTGGGTTTGGTGGAACAAATAAAAAGAGGCTTGTTTTCTTTGACTTACTTGGATTATATACCGAAATGATAAGGTTTGTCTCACTTCCATATTTCTTTCTCTTAGCCAGACTAAGCCTTTGATAGCCAGAGAATGTAGCTAGTTTGTATATCCCCATGTTTCCTAGCTGCTAACATTTAAATGTAGGCCAAAAATCGGCCAAAGTTTTTACAACTTGCAGTGCTTTATTATAGGAGCAAATCACAAAAGGGGAAACCTATTTCCTGCTGAAAAGATTGGAGCAAGAGGCTTGTCCATGGCAGAAAAGTTTCGCTTTTATGTTAATACCTTAATGTTAAGAAAAATGGGACTCTATTTACTTCCGAAAGTAGAAAGCTATTACTGAAATGAAAAGCTATTGGCTTTGTGTTCCCAGGGGCCTCCAGGTGAGGTTATTCAACCATTGCCAATCCAGGCCTCCAAAAAGTCCAAGAGATCCACAGATGCCAAGCTATCGGTTGCAGAAGATTACACTGATGGAATGGAAGAGATCTTCGGCTCGCTGAGTTCTCTGAAACAGGACATTGAACATATGAAATACCCAGTAGGCACTCAGAACAACCCAGCACGAACCTGCAAGGATCTTCAGCTCTGTCACCCAGATTTTCCAGATGGTAAGTTACTATTGTCTCATAAAAAACAAATTTGCCAAAACCTGCTAACACCAGTTCATTCATTCTACTTATATTGGTTTTGGCATATACTACCACTTCTCCAAAGTCCATATCAGGGGTGGGTTCCTGCCAGTTCTAAGCTCTTCTATAGAAGAGGTTCCACAAATCTACAGTGCCGTTTAGAACCGGTTCCAGCTCCCTCCCCTCCCGCCCGTCCGCACATCATCAAGATGAAGAGCGAGAGGAGGAATTCTGGGAGTTGAAGTCCACAAGTCTTAAAGCTGTCAAGTTTGAACACCCCTAGGAGTTGGGTTTTTTTCTAAAGGGTTAGGGGTGCAAAGGTCTTGTAACTTGACAGCTTTAAGACTTGTGGACTTCAACTCCCAGAATTCCTCCTCTCGCTCTTCATCTTGATGATGTGCGGACGGGCGGGAGGGGAAGGAGCTGGAACCGGTTTTAAACGGCACTGTAGATTTGTGGAACCTCTTCTATAGAAGAGCTTAGAACTGGCAGGAACCCACCCCTGATATGGACTTTGGAGTGGGGGTAGTATATGCCAAAACCAAGATAAGGAGAATGAATGAACTGGTGTTAGCAGGTTTTGGCAAATTTGTTTTTT